TTATCCCCCCCCCCTTTTTTTTTACCCCACCACAACCCCCCCCCCACCCACACACACACACGAGCACACAAACAAATTTAAATACAAATAGTGGGCCGATTATGAAGCTATTATTAGCAATGATTATTATAATAAGTTGACTCAACGAGGACATTTCGGCGTTGATTATGAACTTTCCGGGAAATCCACATAGTAGATAAAAAGCGAATATTGTTTTTAATGAAGTTATTTTCTTTTTATTTTGTGAAACTGGACCATGACGGGGATAAAGAAAACATTAAATGGAAACAACTTCTTGATAATAAATTTAGATATACTTTACCTTCTATTTTATTGGTAGAGATACAACTTGGAGATTTCTTCGGATACTCAATTTCAACCGTCGTGGAATATTGATTCAAGTATTTGAAATACAGAAAGTTTCCATCTCAATATAGTCATAATAAGGGGGTCGCCAAAATCGCCCATTACAGTGAATTAAACGATAAAATCCCAAGTACCTCAGGGGCGCCAAAATCGACTTACTAGTCCGCCTCGGGGGGGAGTGGGGGTAGTATTTTAGGTGTTCGGGGGAGGGTGGTAAAGAGTATCTATCAGAACCGAAATTAGGCATTTTGACCCCCCCAAGGCCAGCTCTGACTTCGTCGCCACCGCCATACATAATCATAAATCCATTCTGATAGTGGAGCCCCCTGAGAATATGCTTTTAGCCCCAGCTTAGTTCCGTACCTAGAACCTTTATAGTCTTACTACATATACCAAACTAAATGAAAATCATAATTTTTTCCGAACCTAACAATCATTGCATTCAATTACATCCAACGCTTTATATATATATACATATATATATATATATATATATATATAGGCCTATATATGGAAATGTCTGGGTGGGTGCGTTAGTAAGCCTTTCCTCGGGAAATGTCTGGGTGGGTGCCTTAGTAAGCCCTTCCTCGGGAAATGTCTGGGTGGGTGCCTTAGTAAGCCCTTCCTCGGGAAATGTTTGGGTGGGTGCCTTAGTAAGCCCTTCCTCGGGAAATGTTTGATCAATTTAAAATGATGGGATGCATTTTGGCGCATACATGAATTCAGCTTTCCATCATTCTACAGGTAACCGGCTAGCAACAGAAAAAATTCTAGATGAAATTTAGGTTCCCTTTACCATGCATGGGCTACAAAATTCCTTTCTATTTTTATTTAAATCAAATAGTAGCGTTGTTTCGTAATTTTATTTTGAAACTATGTATTCGTTTAAACAAGTTCATCAATGAATTATTTACACACAAAAAAATATTTCCATTCAAAATAAAAAAAAATAAAAATCTTAGCATATATTATAATACTTATTTTAGATTTGGTATGGCTATTTAAAACTGTTTTTTATAGATTAAATTATATTTAAGTGATATGTTAAAAAAAAAAGAAAGGAAATATTTACAACATGCGTCATATATTTATTAAAGTTTATTGGGTATTTCTAACTACTTTAACTTTCTTCAACTCATTAATGAACTTATGGCACCTTTTTACAAGACGAGGCCCCCTAGAGGCATGAGGCCCCCTAGAGGCGTGAGGCCCCCTAGAGGCATGAGGCCCCCTAGTGGCGTGAGGCCCCCTAGAGGCGTGAGGCCCCCTAGAGGCGTGAGGCCCCCTAGAGGCGTGAGGCCCCATAGAGGCGTGAGGCCCCCTAGAGGCGTGAGGCCCCCTAGAGGCGTGAGGCCCCCTAGAGGCATGAGGCCCCCTAGAGGCATGAGGCCCCCTAGAGGCGTGAGGCCCCCTAGAGGCGTGAGGCCCCATAGAGGCGTAAGGTCCTGTGCAAGTGCCCAGGGTGCCTTAAGACGGCACAGATTTAATGTCTATAATCACAAAAAGATTTTTTTTAAATTTTCATTCGTAATACGATAATAACTCCACTCAAATTGCCTGATACTTAATAAAAAAATATGACTGATTAAATAATAAACTCACTGCTGCACGACGGACATTATCCTGTCTCTCTTATTAGACCCCATGGTCTCTCTTATTAAACCCCATGGTCTCTCTTATTAAACCACAAGGTCTCGCTTATTAGACCTCAAGGTCAATTCACTAACATAAAATAATACAGCCATACAAAGACGATCAACTATCTAACATATAAAACTAAGGGCATATGTACACGATTAACCGACTATCTTACAATTATACGGACATCAAGACAAGATGGATCTCACACGTTCAGTTGGGGTCGGCCCTGCGTTGACTTCGTCTTATAAGAAGATTTCTGAACATAATACAAGTCAAATTATTATTTTTTTTAAAATCTTTTAAGAAATCACGTAATCAGCCAATTCTGATTTATGTGTATCCTCAATTTTGATAGGTCGTACGCGAAGACGCACCATGTACTTACAGCTTAGGCGATGTACAATATGCTCATTAGTTTGATGAATGTTAACATCGCCATGTAAGAAATTTAACGACACAACTGTTTTAAAGATACAGAGCAAAAAGTAAAGGATGTACCACAAAGCAAAAAGTAAAGGATGTACCACAGAGCAAAAAAGTAAAAAAATGTACCACAGAGCAAAAAAGTAAAGGATGTACCACAGAGCAAAAAAAGTAAAAAAATGTACCACAGAGCAAAAAAGTAAAGGATGTACCACAGAGCAAAAAAAGTAAAAAAATGTACCACAGAGCAAAAAAGTAAAGGATGTACCACAGAGCAAAAAAAGTAAAGGATGTACCACAGAGCAAAAAAGTAAAGGATGTACCACAGAGCAAAAAAGTAAAAAAATGTACCACAGAGCAAAAAAGTAAAGGATGTACCACAGAGCAAAAAAAGTAAAAAAATGTACCACATAGCAAAAAATTAAAGGATGTACCACAGAGCAAAAAAGTAAAGGATGTACCACGGAGCAAAACGTAAAGGATGTACCACAGAGCAAAAAGTAAAGGATGTACCACAGAGCAAAAAAGTAAAGGATGTACCACAGAGCAAAACGTAAAGGATGTACCACAGAGCAAAAAGTAAAGGATGTACCACAGAGCAAAAAGTAAAGGATGTACCACAGAGCAAAAAGTAAAGGATGTACCACAGAGTAAAAAGTAAAGGATGTACCGCGGAGCAAAAAATTAAATGGTGTACCACAGAGCAAAAAATTAAAGGATGTACCACAGAGCAAAAAAGTAAAGGATGTACCACGCAGCAAAAAGTAAAGGATGTACCACAGAGCAAAAAGTAAAGGATGTACAAACAGTAACAACGCTAAGAATAACAAAACCTTTGTTTTTATAATGGCCTAAAAACAACGACCACAGCAAGACAAGCAGAAGTGATGACACATAACGAGGTCAAACGAAAGCAGTAAAAGTACATGTAGCAACGTCAAAAATTTTTTTTTAAAGTGCATGTACATCAGAGGTCTGCAAACTTTTAGGACAACTAGACCATTTCAAGGGATCGAGAAGGAACACTAGGCCAGAAGAAACAAGGTGACCAAGGAAAGGTTATTTTATTTAATAACAGGGAATGATCAATGGGAACACGATGATGCATTTCCTGAGAGGCAGCTACAATAACACGCTCTAATGATGAGGAGTTTAGCGACAGAATGAGATAAATTAAAGCTTTGTTGTCGCGTTGGACGAATAATAATTCTTATTTACATGCGATTTTAAAGGCACGACGTTCGAGATCAACCTTCCGTGTTTGATGTCAGATCAGGCCACGTTTGATGGCAGATCAGGCCGTGTTTGATGTCAGATCAGGCCGCGTTTGATGGCAGATCAGGCCGTGTTTGATGTCAGATCAGGCCGTGTTTGATGTCAGATCAGGCCGTGTTTGATGTCAGATCAGGCCGTGTTTGATGTCAGATCAGGTCGTGTTTGATGTCAGATCAGGCCGTGTTTGATGTCAGATCAGGCCGTGTTTGATGGCCTAAAGGTTGGAGTTTGCCGACCTCTGATCTACAGTGGCAACAAGCCGAATACTTTCATTTGTCAAACCCCCCCCCCCCCCCCCCCCCCCCCGTCCCCCGCGAGGTGAGCACGGTGACACAGCAGACATTACTCGTATGGAAATAGCAAGCTCTCAATCTGAAACGACACAGCAGCGGAAGGAGGATTTTTGTTGGAAGAGCTTTATTTGGTTATAATACGTCCATTGATCGTGAACAAGAATATTGTTCCTCTATCGTCACTTTACTTATCCGTGTTCGTCCATTCCAAATGATTCCATAAATCTGAACGTATGAACATCTTTGGTGACGCTGCACGTATAAACATTTTTAGCGCCAAACTCAGATTGAATTCTATTCATTAAAAATAATATTTTAAAATATCCGTGACTTAGAAAAGGAAGCGAAAATAGTTGTGTAGTCCTGGAACCTGAAAGTGTAACTGTGCCTAGTTTGGTGGAGATCGGACAAAGTACTGAAGAGTGGACTCAAACAGACAAACGGACATATCGACAATGCTCTTCATTATAATATTTTAGTTAAATTAAATATAAGTACGCGTTCATTAAAAAAAAAGAAAAGAAATAATTGTTTAATATTAACATGTATACTAATAAATGATAACTTAATCTTTTAAATGATGTGTGGCTTCTTTCGGCAATTTAAAAATGATTGTTTAAATTGAAAGGACTTCAAGGGATAAAGAAATAATTGTTCTCCTTAATATTCCACTATAGGGCATTTGAATTGTTAGTCTTATTTTCAAACTAGTTTCCCCGTACATTGCTATGCATATCTATGTAATAAGTTGTAGGTGGTATTCGTCGCGTGTTGTATCTCGTTGCTTTTCATTTTTTTTTTTCTTCTGTTTTTCAGATTGTCAATGCCAAGGTCAACCGGACACACGAAATATCGATTCTTTATAAACCTTGACGTTTCCGTTAGGACCGGCAGAACAGTGTTTACAATGTCTTTGACCTTAGTCAGCCAAGCGACGGCCATGTTGTTGGCCAACTCTACAAAAATACCACTTCCGATTCCTATCGCCCCGGTCGCTACGCTGAACGTCATAGGCTTACTTCACTACGACCTACAAACCACGCTGACGCGGATTTTAAACGGCGTGGTCCATATCGGAGTCGACATCTGCGGTATCGTCACGAACATCATCAACATAATCGTATTCGTCCGCGTCGGACTGGTGGACAGCGTGACGATAACGCTCTTCAGCCTCGCGGTGTCGGATGTTTGGTTTCTGGTATTCTACATCATCCTGCAGGTCAACTACATGCTGACCGTGGTGCTGGGCCTGGAGCCATACGTCCGGCTGACCACGCTGAGCTACCTGATCGCCTGGTACATGAACCTGTTCAACGACATCTCCATCCTCATCACCGTCTTCACGGCCGTCCAGAAGTCGGCGTGCGTGGCGATACCGCTGCTGTTCAAGAACGTCTTCACCCGCCTCCGCGTCACCGCGGTGATCCTGGGCATCTACGGCGCGATGGTCGTCTACTACCTCCCGACGTTTGTGAGCCAAGGCTTCAAGCAGTACTTCGACGTCGCCCTCAACAGGACCCGGCTCGGCTACACGTCTCAGCCTTACAGGAACCTTCTGAGCGAGATCTACAAAATATTCAATCGCATGTTCCTCCCTTTCACGTCCCAGGTCGTCATCATCATCTGCATGTTCATCATGAGCTACAGACTCAAGCAGGCGTCGCTGCTCCGGCACAAGATGACCGGAGATAAAGATGGCGGCGACCGCGAGGCGGGAATGGACAAGGTCATGATGAACCCGAAGGAGATTCGCGCGATCCAAGTGGTCAACCTCGTGTCGGCCATATTTGTCGTCTGCAACCTGCCGGACATTTTCATCTTCTTCTGCAGCATCTACTACCCGGAGTTTAACGACTACGGGAAGTACGAGATCTCGTTCAAGTTGGCGCAAGCCATTCAGAAACTTTTAACCGTCATCAGTGCGACGGTGAACGTCGTTGTGTACTATAAGTTCAATACGAAATACCGGAACACGTTTAACGAAATGTTGAAGGTGATGTTCCATCCATCACAGTCGTCTGGCAAAGAGAAAAGTTTCCACAAGTAAAAACAAGCTATTGGGATCTCCCGTGCTTAGTAAATAAATCTTCAATGTTGTTGATGGCACTGTTGGCTAAATGGGATATGAGGTTTAAAGGGTCTTGTCAAATAACACAAATAAGGTTGAATGGTACGGTAGGTCTTCACAACGAGCTCATGAAAGTTTATAAACAGGCAGAAATTCTATTCGTTCATTGCTATTCTATATTTCAACATTTCCCCCAATTGAGGCCCATGTATATTTTAACACCAAAATGTTTCTGAAAAATGAAAAAAATACCGTGTAATATAAACATTTAAAGGCAGGGATGTGAGTAGAGGGCCGAGAATTTTAAGTTGTGACCCTCCATCATTCAAAGCTGCTAGTTCAAATAGTTTCCACATACCATGCAGTGTGCCATGCTGGCGTTCAACTTCATGCTCAGCGGTCCAGTCAGTTGAAAAGTAAAATATTCTCGAAAGCTAGTGTGTGTTGATTCAGTATTTTATGTGTTTGTTGTTGTTTTTGTTGTTGGGTGGACCAAAACTGTGACCAACGAACATGTTTTTTCAATAGTCACAAATAGGAAGGTGGGCAGCATGGCGTTGTCTATTAAAATACTCTAATTACCATCGCATGTTGATGTTGAACTAACGCTAAGGGAGAAGACCTTTGGAACAGAGTTTTAATTTCATTATATGGATTAGTTACGCCTTAAAAATTCAGAGTAAATTTTTCCTTACATTAAGGAAGGGTTTTTTGTTTTTTAAGTTCGTATAGAACTGTGAATTTAGAACAGTGAAATAATCCATTTCTGAAAACAGCTACCATTTGAGGGGGTGGGGGGGTAATGGGGGGGGGTCAATGGTACGAGTAATTATGCCATTTAAGGTGGGAATTGGTAGGGCAATTATGCCATTTAAAGTGGGAAATGGTAGGGCAATTATGCCATTTTAGGTGGGAATTGGTAGGGCAATTATGTCATTTTAGATGGGCAATGTTACGGGCAGTTATGCCATTTGAGCTGGGCAATGGTAGGCAATTATGTCATTTCCAACTCACCATCTCTTGACTTGATGCACCATGTCCAGCTCACCATCTGTTTACTTGATCCACCATCTTCAACCTACCATCTGTTGACTTGATCCAACATCTCCAACTCACCATCTGTTGACTTTATCCACCACCTCCAACCCACAATCTGTTGACTTAATCTACCATCTCCAGCTCACCATCTCTTGACTTGATCCACCATCTCCAGCTCACCATCTCTTGACTTGATCCACCATCTCCAACTCACCATCTCTTGACTTGATCTACCATCTCCAACTCACCATCTCTTGACTTGATCCACCATCTCCAACTCACCATCTCTTGACTTGATCTACCATCTCCAACTTACCATCTCTTGACTTGATCTACCATCTCCAACTCACCATCTCTTGACTTGATCTACCATCTCCAACTCACCATCTCTTGACTTGATCTACCATCTCCAGCTTACCATCTCTTGACTTGATCCACCATCTCCAGCTTACTTTATATTGATAAAAGATGACGGCGGGTACGCCTTTACATGTTCATCTTTTTTTATATTTTGATAATGAAATATTTTTTGCTCAAAACGTTTTTTTATATTTATAGTTTAACACCACTAGTAAGTCAAATGTTTAACACCACCAGTGGGTCAAGTGTTTAACACCACCAGTAGGTCAAGTGTTTAACACCACCAGTAGTTCAAGCGTTTAACACCACCAGTAGGTCAAGTGTTTAACACCACCAGTAGGTCAAGTGTTTAACACCACCAGTAGTTCAAGCGTTTAACACCACCAGTAGGTCAAGTGTTTATCACCACCAGTAGGTCAAATGTTTAACACCACCAGTAGGTCAAGTGTTTAACACCACCAGTAGGTCAAGTGTTTAACACCACCAGTAGGTCAAGTGTGTGTCTAGGCAGGCAGCAAGGGGCTTAGGAGGGGCGTGCAAGTTCTTGATTTAACATGAATTCGTCAGTCATGCTTTCGTTTTATTGATACAGCTTTCCTTTAATTGATACAGCTTTCGTTTAAAAGACAACTCAGCCTTTGTGTGTGTGTGTTTGTGTGTGTTGAGACCATTGTTGTGAAGCCCGTTACCCCCCCCCCCCAACCACTTCTTGGATGTTAATACGTGCAAGCCATTTGAATGCTAATGAAATCATCGTCAACCAATCCGTGCTCTCTCAAGTGTTAACTTTTTCGTTTTATGGATACAGCTTTCCTTTAATTGATACAGCTTTCGTTTAAAAGACAACTCAGCCTTTGTGTGTGTGTGTTTGTGTGTGTTGAGACCATTGTTGTGAAGCCCGTTACCCCCCCCCCCAACCACTTCTTGGATGTTAATACGTGCAAGCCATTTGAATGCTAATGAAATCATCGTCAACCAATCCGTGCTCTCTCAAGTGTTAACTTCAGTTGTCAAGTGTTATTGTGTATTGGTGTTGTTATTATTTGCTTTGGTCACTAGTAACGTCATGTATGTGACTACGCCAATAATTACCAGTACGAGACTTGAAAATTGCACGTCAATTGTTTTGTTTTTGATTAATTTAATAATTAGTTGTTGTTTTTTTTCTGTTTTTTTTATAGTTTTTGAATTGTATTGTTAATGTTGACTTGGTAGTAAGATATTGCTGACTTGGTAGATAGATATTGTTGACTTGGTAGATCGATATTGTTGACTTGGTAGATCGATATTGTTGACTTGGTAGATCGATATTGTTGACTTGGTAGATCGATATTGTTGACTTGGTAGATCGATATTGTTGACTTGGTAGATAGATATTGTTGACTTGGTAGTAGATATTGTTGACTTGGTAGATCGATATTGTTGACTTGGTAGATAGATATTGTTGACTTGGTAGTAGATATTGTTGACTTGGTAGATAGATATATATTGTTTTAATGCTAGGCTATTTTATTCTTTTTCAAGGTTGTTTTAAAATTAGTTTTATTTTTTGGTTAGGCCAACATTTTAAATAACTATTACACTTTGGTATCCGTAGCTATAGAAGTGGTCAAATCCCAATACTTACCAGGCACATTATTTTACTTTGCGGTTGGATTCTGTCTGAAATAAATTTGAACCTTGATTGCCTGTATAAAAAATTCAAAATTTAATTAAAGTTAAATACATGGAACGAAAATCAACCTAATGTTTTGACATTCGATAATAATATTATGATGATTTTTTGGCGATTGAAAATATAATGTTGATGCATCCTAAATAAATTCACTTCGTAAGATTTTTTTTTTAATTAAAATTTGATTTCGGTGTTTCACGCAAATTATTTTATGATAACTTTTAGAAATTGGGCATTTGGTGCACAAAACCATGGATATGCCACACCTCATAAGCCATAAGCTTGCAATATTGAATAGTTATTTGAACCTTGTAACTTAGTTCAAACCGCTTTACAAATCCGGTTACGTTTCTTGATTGCGATAATTAGATCTCTCTGGTGCTTTTTTATTTAATTGGTTAATTAATTAATCAAAGAAAGATAAAAGATTAATGAACCGCTGTGGATCTTCCTTCAATGCAAAAAGAGTTCCACTTAATGCTTCGTGAACACTGTCATGTGTCATACTTAACACTGCCACTCATGATTTTTTTATTTTTTTTACCGCCAACATCGATCTTAGTCTAATGTCGCCACCGCTTAACTGCAATTATAGTCTTTATTTTTTTAGAGGACTAAACAAATTATTTAATCTTCATAATTAGGTTAAACTTGCAACTCGGTGCAAACTTTTTTTCTCCATTCTATGATGTTTCGTTTTGTGGGTACTTCAATTTTAATTCACCGCAAAAATGATTACTATTCACACCTCCAATTAAACAAATGCTCTTTAAAATAAAAACGTTTAATTCACCGAGAAAATTATTGTAATTTATCCATTATTTCTCATTTCCATTAAAACACTTCACACTTCCAATAAAACACTTTTTTTTTTTTTGCATTAAAATATATTTACTTCTTTTAAAGTCCTCCGCAGCTACTGTGTGGCTAAATTTGAACACTATCGTCTAGAATTTGGGCGTTGAATACATTCAAACCATTTGCTTTAACACGTCGACGCAAAATGAACCCACACATATTAGAATCGAGCAAATGTCTTTGTGTGCCATTGTTTCTCTCTTTTGCCAATTTCCACGTATGTCGGTATGTTCGATGCGTTGAGTATTGGCATTCCGTTAACTTTGTGGTTGTTAGCACATCGTCTGACAGCATGTACAATACCGTGTTGTTGTGGGAACAAGATACAACTGACTTCATTGTGAACTAATGCAGAAATTGTCAAAGAATTCATGGTGTCTACAGAAGCAGTTGTATTTATTCAACCAGATATAACTGCATAGACATAGAATAGCAGTAAAGATAATTTTTGCGGTGAATTAAAATTGAAGTACCGTTTTATGTACGGTACACACTATAATTAGTATGCTATAAATAGTTCATTTTCTAAGGAAAAAGGTTCTCATCGCAAAATAACGTTTAAAAAAGGGACGTAACTTATTTTTAATATTTTTTTAATGTATTATAGTACATAAATCATTTACGTATTACCAACTGATGTGTTTAAATTTTATTGAGTGAAAATCGAATGTGGCCTATTTAAATACCTGCTCTATTTGAAGAAGTACAAATATTTCATAATATAGAGTATAAAGTTTGCATTTTTAAATTTTTTTGAAGAAAATGTAACTTAAATTTTAAAAATTCAGTGCTTTTGTCCGAATGTGCAAACGGTGGGTGAGCTCAGAGGCACACGGAGGGCATATGACGCTCACGGCAAGAGTTCAAATTACGCCAAGTATGAAGTTTGGTGAGACCTTTTCAAATAATGAAGATTAAGAAGGAAAAAGAAGAAAAAAAAACAATCTACAAATGAAATTAACATACTTTCATTCATATTAATAAAGAAACTTTTTTTTTTTTCAGAGAATAAATATTATTTTTTCGGTTCACCACACACATTGCGCCG